GCTGGCCCAGCCTAGAGCCCATCCCATTCATGATGCTGCAGTGCCGGACCGGACGACCGGAGCCGCGACAGAGGGTCTGCGAGCCCAGGTAAAGTAAGCCTCAGGTTAGGTTGGCAGCCGCCTCGAGTGGTTTAGCTTCAGCCCCCACGCGGGAGGAGGGGCTTCTGATTTCTGGCAACTTGAAAGTGTTGTTTCCCTACGAATCGTATACAACTTGGCGCGTGCATTCTCAACCCTCGCCCAGCAGGGTACGCAACCCCGCGCAACACACGGCAGAGTGTCCGCTCCGCAATGCACCCCTCGGTACACTACTGTACCAAACCACACACACATTTAAGGGTTTAAAACAACAACTATCCCAATTCGAGCACACACACACACACACACACATCCGTGTGCCCGTTTCTCCCGCACCGCATATGATGTGCCCTTTGCATCGCGTTTGTTCGGCAAACACGTCTTTATTTGCACAGTGTACACAGTACACAGTATATGTTGGCACTGCCCTGCCGCCGCCCGCTCTCTGGACACACTGCGCCGATGGGCATAGTAGCAGCAGGCAGGGGCGGACACGGAGGAGGTCCGACCGACCACGCCACCCTGTGACGCCACCCTATAGAATGACGATATTTAGATATTATTCCGCAAGGCAACCCTAAAAAAACAACACCCGCAAAGCGGAAAAATTTGGGCGGTTGCAAATACACGTGGTATCAGCGTAAAGGGGGAGGGGGGGGGAAATCGCTGAAGTGGCGCGCCAAAGTTCAAATGAGATACCCAATCTATAGGGGCTGACATCGATAACCCCAAATGCTTTGGTGCCAGGCAGCACGACTCGGCACGGTAAACGCGCCCCCGAGTAAAAACAAGAAAGACGGGTCTCGTCAGCTGACGCCGCCGGTCTTTAGGGGCGGTCCCCCGGCCTGCCGCCCTCTCTCTCTGGGGCTGCCCCACGAGACGCCGCCCGCCCGTCCGTCCGTCCGTCAGTCCGTCCCCTGCCCTGCACAGGGGCGGCGCACACAAGAGGGCTACCGCACAGTCACATCACTTTCGCTTTTGTATTTCGACCGTCTTTTGACGGTCCGTACGAACGTAAACAAGAGCCGCCCCCCGCAAGTATATCCACCCCATCGCCTTACCTCCCCCTGCCCCCCCC